CTCGAACAATATTCCTGGAAGCTGTAGGCTGTAACATAATCGTTAGCGACGAGTGATTTTTAACCGACATTCTTGATTAAAATATGTTACTCGTCGTTTTTCGGTTATTTTTCAAAGTTGTATTGAGGTTCTCCCTACTTGTCAATACAACACCAGGAGACAGTAAGTTGAAAGAACAGATATAGGTATTCATTGCGAACTTTTAGACTCATGCGTCAGACGCTGTACAGCGTTTCTTGACTACGGATAAAATTAGAGGGGGCAGAATTGACACGTAAGATGCAAATTGATAATACAAACTGTCTTTTTGCCTTCAATTTCGGAGATAGGCCACAAAACATCCTTGGTGTAGTAATAGTTAGCCATCCGAGAATGTATATCCCAGAGTATATCTAAGCATCTTGTTCTACAGTGAATTAAGTCGAACTCCAGCCGGATGATTATGATAGCGGTTATTCAAGACTATGTGCTAGATATAATATTGCTATAATTCAAACATTTTCTCCGAAATAGCAACACTTCTTTGGCGCACACGCAGGAAACGCCAATCGTCAGGCGTAATGTTTTTGGAGTGTTGGCATCTTCACAGCTAAGCAGGAAAGTTGGTGATCTTGCCAACGTGCGCTCAAAATTCAGTCCAAAACTGAAGTCCCATAACGGAACACCAGACAAGGGTACGAATTTAAGCAATCTGATACATGTACCTTAGCCAAAATTTCACGTAGAACACGATTCGCGCAACGAAAATTACTGAAACCAACCCCTAACGAAGATATTAACGTTTTTATTTTACATCGGTTACAAGGAATTTGAACTGCCCGCTCACAAGAAACTCAAAGCTCTACGTGAGTCAAATCGCCCACTTTAACGGTTTCAGCAAGCGTCTTGCAATCGAGCAATGTTCATTTCCCACCATGCGTTGTTCAAACTACAAGCAATTTTCTAAAACTGAGCCGAAGCGTCAAGATCGACGTTGCCAGATTTTTATATCGCAAAGATTGTCATATGATAACGTTTCGCGCGCGATGTGAATCACGTAGAGCATTGAGTTTTCATGAGCGGATGGTTTGAATTCACGCATCAAGAATCATCAAGTATCTTCGTAAAGAGTTGATTGTGGTAATTTTTGTCGTGCGCATCGTGTTTAGCGTGAAATTTTGGATGAGGAACACAAATCAGAATGCTGAAATTCGTTCCTTGTCTAGTGGTCCATTAGAGAAACAGCCCATTTGAGCATAAGTTTTCCCTTGAAAGAGATATAGGTATTTTCTGGGGCTACAATAGTTACGACCAACCGGGAAGGAAATTGCAGACGCGTTTCGGTCGCAACTATATTGTGTTGAACAAAACAGCATAACTATATCTTGGGAGAAAATTTGTGCTTGGGTAGGCTGTTCCTGTCTATAGTGAGACTTTCAGTTTTACACTAAATTTTGAGCGTTCGTTGGTAAAATCACGAAATCCCTTTTCTGAACGACTCGTGCGTCAATCCGAATTTTTTTGTCTATCACTTTGTCTATCAATTCCAATAATCAGCCCGCTGATCAGTTTTTATAGCCAGGGTCTCTTCCTCTGCGAATCATCCAAAATTTAATATATCGACTTCAAAAATTCGAAGAAAAAGACAACCGGAATGTGACGCACATCTCAAGCATGCCGCACGCAAAAGCAAAACTCAAACTGTTTTCGACGTCCCGAGAACGAAATGCCCGGAATCGGTCGTTCTAAAATTATTAATAACTCACATAAAAAATTCACGTCTCGTCCGTTCGCGAGTTGATAATCCTATTCATAAGACTATCACGTAATCGATAATCCGAACAGCAGAAGCGTCTAGGGAACCGGCCACGTCTTTGCTGGGTTCGTGGGTTGGGTTTTTTGTTTTTAAAAAAACAACCGGTCGTCCGTTACGGTTGACAGTTACGATCGCCCCGCAGTCGAAAACGCGGAACTTCGGTTCAAAGTTCTCCGGGCGCGATTTTGCAATGAGCTTTTTGAACTTGAACCTTACAGCGGGTGTCACGATTATCGCTACTGAGAACTGGTTTTTTTTTTGGTCAAGCGTTCGTGGTTCGGCCGTTCTCTTTCCTCTTCGTTGTTTCCGTTTGCTCGTCGCGCGCAGTTCCAACTATACGCATGTTCAATGTCAGGGATTGCATTCGCGAGGCGTTTTCTTTGAAGACCCCGCGAGCAAAAAAAAATCTGATCGAAAGTGATGCCATAAGTCCAGCTGCAAATACCAATTGGGTCATTAAGTGAGATTCTAAAACTCCAAAAGCATTCAGATGTTTTGGCTTTTTTTGATTCTTTATGATGTATCCCTTTTAATTTTAGCAGGACCGACCTATGTGCAGAAATTTGAAAGAAAAAAGTTATTTTAAGTCAAGGCCACCGTTCCGGTATTGAACGCGCAATTTTCAATTTGTGAAAGGGAGAATTAACTTAAACCCAATCAGCATACAACTACGTTCAATGCAGATTATTTAGCTAAATTTTTTCGTATGCTCTTTTTTTAGTAGAAACGAAAAAAATAAAGTATGATTTTAAACTGTTTCAATTTATTTACATTTTATTAAATACTACTTACACTTCAAAAATAACTCCAACTAACAACTTTGCCTCACGAGAAAAATCCTTGAAAATATTCTAAATAAGTATATTTTTTTAGGCATTTCAGCATTTATAATGAGGCCATTATGTTAAATTGAAAAAGTTTACAAAATAATATTTTTAAGAATAACTGTAAGGAGCTTGCGCTTTCTGTATACATGAAAATGATGGACTTTACCTTGAAAAATTAAAATAATCAAGTCGATGCTATACTTAGAAATGTAAAATTCTTAGTGATGGATTTTGAATAATATTAGTCCTTCCAATGTGACAGCTTTTTTATCCCAGTTTATGCAACTTATTGTTTGAAAAAAGAGGGAACCTTGGTGAGTTAACGGCTTTGTTATTGCGCTGTCGTAGCATTCCACCTCCCATGCAGATATAAATCTGCAGGTCAATGAATTGATTTTTACTCCTGACCCACTAAAGTTTTCAGCGAAATAAACCGAAGTTGTGACTTCATAAAAGACTCCCTGTCTAAAATTCTGGTAACTTAAATAGAGATATTTCAATCACTACTGACAGATGTAATAGTAAATAAAAATCAGTCCTCAAAGCCGTGAAATTCCCCTTGATATTTCTAATACATATTTGGTTCACTGCAGGCACCATCCGTTTTTTAAACGGATTGAACAAAACTTTACTCTGCACCAAAGTGAAGTGACGTTTGCATAACTTATTCTTCAAGAAGTTTCACCGTCGAAATTAAAAACCAGATCTTTCAACCGATCTTGACAAAGATAGCTCATCTGAAAATGTTTCCTCCGTCAGCTCAATGATTTAGTCCTGTAAATGGAGAAAAACAAATGGATCGCATTTAGCAGAAAGGAACCAAGCTGTTGCTGAATGTAACTCGCCACTTTAGATTCTTTCAAGAGAGTGTTTCAGCGGATCCCTTCGACAATTTTAAGGAATTTGCTTCGTACTATGCAGAAAATTCACCGAGATTCGCACCAAGATCCGCACAATCGTTTTCATGTTAAAAAGTATACTGCTCAATTTTTGTCAAAAGCCGCCGATGTGGCTTGATTCCTTTCTGCTTAACCTGGTCCAAACCTATCTAACAATTTCGCCCACATCGCCTACAAAAAACCCTATTATATATGACCCATTCCTATCACACATTAAAGATGGGCGCTGCATCTTTTTTCATCTTTTTATATGATACGTATACTTGTTAGTAAATTTATCTCCATTGGATTATAATGATACTTGGTTCGAAGATTGTTTCTCATTGCAAGTGAATACAGACCAAACATTGGATTTATTTTTAAATTCATGTGACAACTAGGTATGGAATAAACGCGCGTGGCCACAGCCGTAGCCCGTCTCCAGGTCTGTAGGTAATTGGAGTTGCATCATTGCGTGCGATGGTCAGCAGGTCAACGCACGACTTTTATCTAGCATCTAGTCAAGGGCTTTGAAAGACAGCGACATACGGTTATTTTTAATACAACCCTTTTTAGAGGCTTCATCTGCCATCGGTCGAAGATGAAAAGTGAGGTGGAAGTATGAATGCGTGTTTTGAATTAAGCATTTTTTGAAATATACGTAAACCATTCTTTGCCACTTTGTTACTTTTAAGTTTTCGGAAAAAAAATAATTGTACAAAAATGAAACAAACTTTTTGATACTTATCCTTTGGTGCAACAGAAATAGTCCTCCATCGAAAATTCAAAAAGCGAGGTATTTATCTGCTTGAACAAAACTCGCATCTCTGTAGAATGTGTATCCATAGTCCAGGGTCCGTATGTTCCTGTGGCCTGTCAAAAATTTTAGTGAAGAAGAGACAAAATGGTTGCAGTCATAGGGAGTCGATGGAAATCAGGATAAAATAATTGAAGTGGGAAAAAGATAAAAATACCTAAAAGTCATGGAAAAATTTCGTTTGCGGAATCGACGAATTTCCGTTTGTCACCTCGCATATTTGATAACAATACATTATTATCTAATTAATAATACTATTACATAATATTTTTTTTATTTTCACTTTGTCTTTGAGAAGAATCTAAAATTCTCAAAATTATCATCATTACCTAGTATTTCCTCCAATGTCGAGGAAATTTTTCTAAATTGCTCAAGGAAAATCTGGAAGGAAGGAAAATCCAACACTAAATTCCTGTGGCTCCTCAGGAAAAAACAAAGAACAGAATAACTTTCTGTCGTTCGTTTTGATTTACATAGATTGCGTAGAACTATTTCTATTAAAATAAAAACACGGGTTGTTTTAATTGCGTAACAACAGCGAAAGCATCCTCATTCCTCATATACTCCGTCTTATAGCGATGGCTACTAAACGCGTCTCATAATCCTAAATTATTCTTGATCACTATCATTTTTGGGTTGACCGACAAAATTTTAACTGTCATTTTACTTTTTGTCTGTTACAGAATGTCAGCCACAACACAGGTCTCGTCCCCAAACGAGACGTCTGTACGAGATAGGCCTGGCATACAAGAGTTTTTTAACGGGACAAGTGTTTTTATCACCGGTGGAACAGGGTTCCTGGGAAGCGTTCTCCTCGAAAAACTAATCAGGTTCGTCCCTTTGTTTTACCGCTGAGTATATGTTTAAATACATTTGAATTTAAAGTGCTGGTGATTTTGCCAACGTGGGCTGAAATTCAGTTCATAACTGAAATGCTCTTTATAGTGGGGAAAAGCTCATCCTAGTAGAGTTTTTCCTCATATAGAGACGATGTTAGGTGGAACTATATTTACGTCCAATCAGGAAGGTAATGCTATTGTAGTATTAGGTTGTTTGGACGCGTTTTGGAACTAGTTTCAATTTGTTTTATCTAAGCTTTCCAAGACGTTTTGTCAAGATCAAACAGACATCGGAAGCTTCTTTCTAAAACCTTCAATAAAGAATATAGAGTTGAAAGAACTGGTTTTTTTAAAAAGAATTCTCATTTTTATTTACTTTAATGGAAAACCCCCAAAAAGGAAACAACAAACCGCCAGATCTTGCGTTAAAGCTTGGAGAAAACTGTATCAGATGAAGAATAAAATAGGTGGAATAAGGTCCTCTTGATAAGTTTGCACAATTGTAACACCATGCAACAGGTTGTTTTTTTATTTTAATGGAGATATATTTTGGCAATGTAATTAAAATAATCATAGTAATAAAATAATAATAATTATTGAGTAAATACGGACACACCAGTTTTCTTAAATACGCCCAGAGAAAAAAAGTCCTCGCGTTAAGTTCGCATGAATTTTAAAATAACGCATCACGTTATTTTCCATCTGATCAATTTACATGTCTCGTCAATGTTATTAAAAATAAACTTCGTTTGAATTTTTAAAAAATGCATTTTTTGGCAATGTAATTAAAAAAATAATACTAATAATAATTGAGTAAATATGAACGGACCAGTTTTTTCTAATAACAAAAGAGAGAAAAACGTCCTCGCGATAAGTTCGCATGCATTTTAAACAATGCGTTCGGTTATTTTCCGTCTGAAAAACTTCTCAACAACGCTACCAAACATTAAAAAACTTCGTTTAAATTTCTTCAAAGAAACGGGATTTTTTCAATGCACCATTTTTTGTCTGAAAAGCAAAATCTTACTCACTCTCAGAATGCACTTAAACTCTGGCGTAGCAGCCTATCCAAAACATTAAATCAAATTTAAATTCTCAAATTATTTCCAAATCCCTCACGCAAACGACGAACCCTCGACCCAAGATATTGCCCAAGAATAATTCTGTTAATGCCAGGGACACAGACAAGGAGTTCATCCTACTTATTAGCAGGTCGTCACTCGTTGTGAATACCGCTTTACCGTGCTAGGAAATTAACATCCTATGTACATTCGAAAATTGCCAAATTTCCACCAAACGAACTCTAGTTTCTCTCTAAAATTGAGGCGTTGAGTGTAGAAAGGACATTTCTTGGTTGAAGTGTTTCAGAATTTCCACCGCTAATCGATTTTTCAGAGAGAAAACTATTGGGTGAATTTTCTGAAATTCTTAGGTTTTAGCATTGTAAAATCATACAGAAAATTCAGTTAAAGTTTTAACGCATTCCGTGTATTTGCTTAAATTATAATGAATGAAAACTGGAAAAAACACACTAGATCTAGAGTCCAGACTCTTGAAAACATTGACAAGAAAAAATACTCCTGATTCAATCAGATTTATGCTTAAATCAAGAAGAAATCCACTCAAATTAAGAGGCTGGGTTCTTGATTTAAGCTTAAATCCGATTGAATCAAGAGTATTTTTTCTTGTCGATGTTTTTAAGAGTCTGGACTCTAGATCCAATGTGTTTTTTTCCAGTGAAACGTTAACGGAGATCCTGAGACTACCCGAACTAAGATATGCCTTTTCTGCACCCGACGCCTCAATTATGAATATTTTACCTTGAAATTTTTAGAACCCTCTTGACTAATTTTAAATTGGAAATTGAACCCTCGAAAAAATTAAAATGACCTAATTTGTAAATTCTCTAGTAAATTCGTATTCTATCATGAAGAATTTGACAAGCTTATAATGTTATCATACACTGGAAAAAAAACCACATTGGATCTAGAGTCGAGACTATTGAAAACATTGACAAGAAAAACACTGAGAAAAAACTATGGCTTATAAACCTATTAGTGGTAAATATGGAACACCTCTAATAGTAGTACCTCTACATATAATAATAGCACATATACCTTAGTTATGGTCTCTGTACCTTAATTAGGTACAGAGACCTTAGTATGGTTCACAGACCGAGAATCATTAGTTTATTTACGACTATTATAGGTGTTCCATATTTACCTCTAATAGGTTTATAAACCATAGTTTTTTCTCAGTGAAGGACTCTTGATTCAATCAGATTTAAGCTTAAATCAAAAGGAAATCCGCTCAAATTAAGAGGCTTGGCTCTTGATTTAAGCAAAAATCCGATTGAATCAAGAGTATTTTTTCTTGTCGATGTTTTTAAGAGTCTGGACTCTAGATCGAATGTTTTTTTCCCCCCAGTGTATAAGTTGTTTTGACTCAGCGCGTCAGCGTTGATGAGCCATCGCGGAGGGATGAAGCGAATCCGCGAACGAACGGTAGCTCTCTCTGCCTCATTTTCGTGCTCCAATGTCAGACTCGTCATCTTCTATTCAATCCCGATCAAGGGCCCTCGCCTGTTCAGCAAAATCGCGTAACCTCAACACAAACCCGTGTTGCAGTTCGTCGTTTTCGCTCAGCATGACGTCTGATTGGTTCGTGAGGTCGTTACAATCAGCTGAATCAGCCGTAGAACGGAGACGGCCATAATTTCAGTGCTGTTGAATACCACTCCGTTAGACGATGACGAGCAGTAAGCTAATAATGCTAATATCACAGACAGAGTGTAAAAATACACCATAATTTAAATTGAAGTGAGAATGGACCGTCGCGTTTACCGTGACCATTTATCTGAGAATCTTATGATTAATCTTTGTTGTCGGTCTTTTTTGGTCTCAAATTCTAAAAGTACAAGAAAAGGTTCAGTTTTGGTTTTCCGCGCGTAAACTCCCTCTAAGAAGATTTTAGGTGGCGATATATCATTAATTTTCAAGCCGTGAAATTTCATGTGGAATATCTCAGAAATTTATAAGTTATCGTAAATTTAGGTTTCAAAGCGCACATTAGCTATGGATGCTGTGCGCTGAATGAGTATTAAATTATTAATATGATAAATGAATATTATTCTAATATAATTTATGAGTATTTCAAGCCATTAAACCTTATTCAACAATATGCGTGTTTCGGTATACTTTTTCATCTTTTTCATGTTTATCATAACAGCACGCGAGTTACGTTTTTCCAATTAAATTATTCCATTATCGTTTGAAGATATTATCATCGAAGATTTATTTTGATATTATTATAATTTTTTTATTATTTTTGTTTTTACAATTTTTTTAGTTACGGTTTTTTTCATTCATTTTACTTAAAAGGAGAAGAAAACGTAAAATTTAAAATCGAATGATGAGCAAACCAGGGTTGTTTGCATTCCTAAGTCTGAAAGTGTCTCTCGGCGTTATGATGTGATGAGTAGTTGATTACCTGTCTTCTCCTTATTTTACTTTTGGTAGTTGGATTTAATTACACAAGGGCCATTTCGGTCCCCGGGGTTCCATTTCTATGTTTCACTCACATTGCGACTTTCATTAGTCGTACGTCGCGAACATTGTAAAAATAAAATATGCCATTTTTTGCGCTGTGATTTTTGAGTGCGGGTTGCATATCCTGCCCCTGATTTTGTTGTTGTTGTTATATTTTTACAAACATTTCGTAGCCTTGTGTAATCTCAAGAAATGTTTCACGGATTCCTCCAATCTTCATACGTCCTTTTCCTTTCATACCACTCTGAGCAGAAAGCATCAACTCTGCCCGATTGCGGCGCACCTGAAATAGGCACATCATTCTAAAAACAGCCAATTATCTTAATGCAGTCAGTTGATAATATTATGACTGTGCTCTATGCTTCAATTCCTCTCTATTTATTACAATTTGTACTTTTCCATTCCCGTGAACACGTCAAGAATCCTCAACATCCCTGCCTTTAACCTCGGAGACTTAAACGAACGGGTAGGAATGTCAACAGGTTTTCTTAGCGTCTTATTTAGTAGCATCTATCTGTTGAGAGGATTTTCATCAGCATCGGTGAATCCTTTTATTAATAATTCATAACATTTAGCACTTAAAGCACTGACTGTGCAGCAAAAGAGGGGGGGGGGGATTTCAAGCTTGAAAAATTGATTCTCAAGCCACATGATGGATTTAAATAAATTGCGAACTATCCATATCCTCTTCATCCGACACAGAGTTGCTAAGCACACTCTAATCCTCTTGTAAACTTAGAGCATGGTAAAAAAAAATAAAAAAGTAAAAATAATACAAAAAAATAAAAAAAAATAAAAAAAATAAAAAAAAATAAAAAAAAAATAAAAAAAATACAAAAAAATAAAAAAAAATAAAAAAAATAAAAAAATACAAAAAAATAAAAAAAAAAATAAAAAAAATAACAAAAATAAAAAAAACTTAAATAAAATAAAAATAGTGATTCGATAGTGATTCGCTGTACTATTTAGTTCAAAACAATAGAACATAACCTCCAACCGAAATTTTAAGATATTTGTTAGAAAAGCTGAAAATAAGAAATTTCGTGGCAATTTCACTACTCTTGGCCAATCAAAACTCATACGAATCAAAAATCTATCCCAAAAAACTATTCCGTCAGATTACTAAATTGACTTTTGAGGCCACGATATGTTTTTAACCGATCGATATCGATACAATCCCATCCGTTTGATGTATCGAATACGATCTATTTGCTCAAACTAGTGGCGTGGCGTACTTTGCGACGTATCGATTGATCTCCCATTTGAACCTATGAAAAATGATCGATAAACAGGGTTTTGCAATAAACACCTTAATAATCGAACTTTAACCATAGCTTCCAATGGGGAAATATCGACGAACAACCATTCACGCCTCGCCAAACATGAGCTTTTACGTTAATTTGAAAGGAAAGTAATGAATTAATTTTTGAATTACCAAGTCCGAGAGTTTATTTCCTTGGCCGTTCACACAAACGTCATTTTTTAGCTTCAAATATATCGGGAGTATCATCGCACCATCGCATAGCATAGTGACGAAGTGGTACGACCCATGTCCAGTATTGCACATTCATCCCGTGGCATCCGATAGTCCGAGTTGTCCCAGTTTCCCACAGTCGTGCACTGCGGTGCAGCTAATCGATTCTAAACTGCCACATTATGAGAAAAGAATGGAAAGAAGGAATGAGACATCGAAGAAAAAAAGAATGATACGTCTTCTTCCGAACGAAGCATTCATGCAGGAAGTCTGCGCAAATTATTTTTTGCCCGCAACTCTCTATCATCATTTTCTGCCTTATCCATCCATCAAGCTTCGCAGAATCGAGGCGCGATGCGATGTTGCGGTTTTGATATAAAAATAATCAATGAACAAGCTAGTTTTATATAAAAAAGACCTTACTTTTCTATGAAACATCGTAGAGGAGATCTCTCAAGACAAATTCTTAAAATTGCATGCGTTTCATAAGCCTGAAGATTTTCAGTTTTGTAAATTGCATTGCCGCACTGGAAAAAAAACACATTGGATCTAGAGTCCAGACTCTGTAAAAACATCGACAAGAAAAAATACTCTTGATTCAATCAGATTTAAGCTTATATCAAGAACCAAGCCTCTTAATTTGAGTGGATTTCCTTTTGATTTAAGCTTAAATCTGATTGAATCAAGAGTCCTTTTTCTTGTCCCTGTTTTCAAGAGTCTGGACTCTAGATCCAATGTGTTTTTTTTTCCAGAGCGAAAGAACCAAGTAGTAACTTCATAAAATGTATTATACTTGTAGGGATTGGTTACTCTGCTAAGAAAAAACTCATTTGTATGTGCACTTGGACGTCACAAAATTTCCATCGATAATGTATTAATTATCCCATAGGAAAGTTAGGAACATTTCCTCTTCAAATTTTCAGTCACTGTTGATGAAAGTGCGAATGAAAGTCTACCATAAATTGAAAGTGAAATATTCATATCCCTGAAAATTCATGTTTTTGAGAATTGGCTACTTCTGACGGCTCATACGGCGTCCTTACTTACCACGGTAGCTGTAGACGTAAAGTTTCAAGGTGAAGAGTCTGTCAACCTCGCTGGCTTGTTCTGTAACCACGAACCTCACGCGCCCATCACTTTTGAAATTAAAACATTTTTCTACTTTAGAATTTTACACCTTAAAATCCGCAGATCAGCTCTTCACATGGTCAACCATTTATATAGTTATTTATTTATTTCCTCGTATGATCTCGATTTTCTACCATTCTTTTTTGCAGATGTTGCCCCGGAATAAAAAAAGTGTACCTTCTCGTTCGACCAAAGAAAGGGAAAGAAATAACAGAGCGTTTCAATGAAATCTTCGATTCACCGGTAAGTCCTTCGCCAATTATCTAACTGCTAACTAGAATCTAACTGTAGCAAAATTATAGGTGAAATCGGACATTTTCAACATTTTCGATATTTTTTTTTACTTTTAAAATGGACTATGTGAATAGGGTTTGGTGCAACTTAGTGCCTTTCAGCATAGATACGTTCAATTATATTATTAATACTTCTTTCTCCTTATATTTGATCTTGAGTGTAAGTCAACCGCTCTGGCTCGAACGTGTTATTTTAATAAAAAACGTTACTTTCTTATAGATCAGCACATCATACAGTATAGTTCGGTCAAATCCGGCAGCGAGATAGTTATTGAATATTTTCCCAACAGCACACTAAGCTTCACCCTGATAAGCTCGTAGCGCTTTACGAATGCGAGTCCAATAGATGACTATTCGTGCTCCTTAGTGTGTTTCTTGCCTATGCGGTGTAATTGAAGGCGAACTTCATAAGATGATATGTATCAACATTGTCTAAGGATGTAAACATTTTCCTGGTAATGGGAAAGACCTGTATATAGACACGGCCCCACTGGCTTTGCCTTGCTGCGTCAACTCGACTGTTAGCTATTATTTGGTCGGGTTTTAAATAGCCTTTTCTAACCTTAAAAACGAACTTTTGCATTTTTTAATGAACTTTTTGTTTTTTTACGAAATTTTGCGTATAGTAAACTTTACTATAGCCCTGAAAAAATGTCTCACCATTGCTCCATGGACTGATTTAATGGCCACGTCATTCGATATAATATCGAGCCCTTGGTTCGAATGTGAACTAACATAGAACCTTGTTTCTTGTTTCTGATTTGCGCCCTTTGCAGCATGGTGGTGTAACATGCGTCCAAGTGGTTCATATAATCGAAGATTCTCGTGTTTAATGAGTCTTTGCTGAATTTATGACCGGTCAATATCTAAATTTTAATAATTAACACAATTAACTCATGAAGAATTCGTACATGGACGTATTTCTATCAAACAGATTTATATGGAGGTGAGAAATATGGGGTGTGCTCGTCAGTTCTCTAGCCATAAGAGTGAATGAGAATAATAAAGCGTCAGTGACGTCAACGGAGATAGATGCCGTCGTCGCGGCTCCTCATAGTGGTCAGTAACTCATGAGCCCTGTCTACAACGCTCTCGTGCCATGCCCGCGGCTCATATATCCCGCATTCAGTTGGCACATAGTTCTCTTTGCTCAATTTAAAACCCCGCTTTTTCAATGCACCACTAGACAAGGTACGAATTTAAGCAATCAGATACATGTTTCTTAACCAGAATTTTACGTTAAACACGATTCACACGACGAAAATTACTGAAAGCAACTCCTAACGAAGATATTAACGTTTTTATTTCACATTGGTTACGGGGAATTTGAACTGCCCGCGCTTACAAGAAACTCAAAGCTCTACGTGAGTCAAATCGCGCACAACAACGGTTTCAGCAAGCTCCTTAATCAAACAATGGCCATTTCCCACCATGTGTTGTTCAAACTATAAGCAATTTGCTATAGCTGAGCCAAAGCGTCAAGATCGAGGTTGCCAGATTTTTATATGCAGAGACTGTCATGATAACGTTTAGTGCGCGATGTGAATGAATCACGTAGAGCATTATTGAGTTTTCATGAGCGGGTGGTTTGAATTCACGCATCAAGAATCATTAAATATCTTCGTAAGGAGTTAATTTCGGTAATTTTCGTTGTGTGCATCGTGTAAAATTTAAAAAAATACGTAAAATTTTGGTTAGGAAATTTGTATCAGAATGCTGAAATTCGTACCTTGTCTAGTGGTCTATTCTTCAAAAGGAATCATGCCCACTTTTACATTGTTTCTTATGCAGCTTTCTAGAGCAAACCCCATATTTCTCACTTGCACGTAATTCTGTTTTACAGAAAAACGTTCCTGCGATGTTATTTTAGTTTGTTTTGGTTTGAACCAAGAGTTCAATATCATATCGAAGGCCGTAGTCACTAAATCAGTCCAATTCAAGAAGCGCACCATATTGGATCGCCAAAATTCGCGTAACAGCACGAGGCGGGTGGAAGAATCCGGTGAGGTCGAGGGCGACGTAAGGCGATTAATTTTCGGGGCGGACGGCGCATGCGCAGTCGGACGGGCACGCGAACGGAACAGGGAACACGGCCGCCGTTTCGCCGCGCGTGGCAAGGCCGGACGCTCGGCACATCCAAACCACAAAAAACTCAAACGACATTTTAATGTCTGCCGCCGAGAGCATCGGAAGAGCTTCACGCACCACGCAGATTCTGCGGCGCACAGTGGATCGAGTCAATAGGAGAGGTCGGACAAAATTTGGAAACTTTAAACCCTTGTAACTCCATGTATTCAAAACGTTAAAGTTCTACACGGAGAAAAAACCTTCGTGCGTGGGACCCAAAGTTTAGGTCATACGGATCTCTGAAGTTTTCGGATTGAGCATCTGAACACTTTAGGTCCAGCTGCTGAGGTTTGGATCACACATCTGAAACTTCAGTTCTTACATCTGAAGTACTTCAGTTTTCACATTCGAAAAACTTCGGTTCTCACATCTGAAGTACTTCAGATGTAAGAACTGAAGTACTTCAGATGTAAGAACTGAAGTTTCAGATGTGTGATCCGAACCTCGACAGCTAGACCTAAAGTGTTCATATGCTCAATCCGAAAACTTCAGAGATCCATATGAAGTAAACTTCGGGTCCCACGCATGAGGTTTTTTTCTCCGTGTAACAGTGGTTTCACTGGTTCCCTCTTGAAATTTCTTTCGAGAAGCACTCCTTGAACTTGAAAATATGACGATATAACCATCAAAATTCGTACTTTTTGTCAAAAATGTCATGTCCCCGACCTTTCTAAGTGACTCGATCCACTGAGCGGTCCTCTGTGAGTGGACAAAAGTCGAAAATTCACAACTCTGCACCCGAATATTTTTTGGAGTTTGTCATCTTAAAGATATTTCTGATTCGCAATGATGGTTCATTCTGAAATTTTTCGCTCAAAACTACTTCATATTTGGGTAGGAAGTGGGCGGGAAATGGGTCGAGAATCACTGTCCATAAGAAATACACGGAAAAAAGACGTCAACTTCAAATTGAGATTTCTCGCTCGAAACGGAAAGTGCTCCAGGTGGTTGACATTTTCTTAATCCTCAGACATCCAACTTCAATTCTACGAAAAATATCTTGCGACTTTTTGCGACTATCAGAGATATTTGAAGTTAAAGTTTGGGTGTTACACGTCGCTTTTACACTGTTAACATAGGGCTAATTCGAGGTTGCCAACTTCAAATGAACTTTTCTCGAAAAATACGCAAAAAAAAAAAAAAAATCCCGAAATATAGCATTTTCTTATTCCTCGAGTGTTTTACTTTGATAGTTCCAAAGGGTTTTACCATGTCGGTGCTACTATCTTCATTTATTTAAAATTAAGTGTCTTTTACCGATTTTTGTCGGCATCGTCCATGAGGATGCTGCACTGTGCGGCGGCGCCAGGCGCCGGTTGACCAACCTTCCTCCACCGCAATGAGTGATTCTCTCGCCGTAAACTTCAATATTATTCAGTCTGGCATAAAGTTCATCCTGAAAACCGGGCGTCAATAAGGGCTATTTTTGGGTTGAGTGAACAGGTACATTTTGTGTGATTACCAGGCTCGGATAAGTGTCGATATATCAGCTAGAATAAGACCTTATTGAACCTTTCAACACTTCCCAAAACGTAGGTAATATCATTTGACCTACCCAACTAGGTTAAACCAGTTATCCAGGCTGAAGTTAAGTTTTTTTTCATTCACAAATCTCATAGAGGGATCATTATTATCACGGTACAGTTTCAAAGCAAGCTATCTTTTCAAATATCACCTCCCGATTAATATCATTTTTAAATAATGTCGACAGTATTTACCGATTTTCACACACGTCGGGTTTTTTGCCTCTCAATTTCAAGCACTAATGCTGGAATTTCATCACCTAGCATCTCATGGATGTAAAATCGCACCCGGTTTTTTTAAAGGAATATCGACCTTATTTGAGGTAAATGTGAAATAAAATATGTGAACTCTAGCAACGTTTCATGAACTGGATGCCGTGTGAAGCCGCTGAGTCACATTTCCACCCCCGAGTATTAAAATATTCACGCACGGAGGTATGCCAGTTATTTTACAGAACTGTCGAACGTCGATATAAGCTTCATTTAGACGGGGTTAATACCATCCACACCATGAAGAGTTCCGTATGAGAATTATTTGCGGTTTGAAGTGCACAAAGAAGACAAAATTAGAGATTTTTGATAGATGAATTTTTTATGGCTCTGTAAGTATAAAAGGCCGCGATTTAACCAGAAACACGTGATTTTTACCGCAATTTTGTACACAAAAAAATAATTTTAAAAAATCAAAAATTAAATAAAAAAGCGAGTTTCCCGGCTCTCCGATTTGAAAACCCCGTATTCTGTCGTGCTAGGGAAGAACGCCGAACAAACATTCGAGAGAATTTCTCCGGATCAAACCTGTATTTGTGAGTAAAGTTGTGAATATTTGTCTTCGAAATTTTCGAATATTTTAGATTAAATTGTGAACAAAATTCTCTGCAAAATTGGTAGAATAATATTTAAAACTTTTCAAATAAATTAATATTTTTTAGAAGGAAATTTGGCAACGCCTAAAGGTTCATACGGCTTCTTTCCTTAGCATGACAGTATTCAGGGCCTTCCCATTTTAACACTCGACCAATCGCGACACGAGGTTTCCACCCCGAGCCAGAGATTGGAGTTTCTTATTGCGAAATGCAGCCCGAATTTTTTATGCCGCTAGCGGGCCGATTATTGAAATATATAGACAAGGCGATAGACAAAGAAGATATAGGGAGTATGGAGCTACCCTGTTGGTTGAAATGGGTGGTTCCTATAGACGAAGGGAGAAAATGATGGAATAACTATCGGGTCCCTCGTGGGTTGCCGTTACTTAGTCTATTACCTACCTCCCTTGTCCATTGCTACTACCGGCTTCCAT